CGGGGGCTCTGGATCCAGGCCGCTTCCCCGGGATGTGGCCTACCGCCAAACAGGTTGCCCCTCAGTCAGCTGGCAACAGCTCTGTGCCTTCCGGTTTGCCCCCCCGCCAGGCTTTTTGCGCTCATGCAACTCGGGGTGCCTGAGTTTCCAGGCAACACTGTAAGACGCCCAATGGATTCATGGCCCCCGAAGCTTGCTCATTTTTCACTCGTCCTATTGAAGCTTGTTTCTACCGTGGCAAACTCTGAGCTTCCTCCTCTGTTTCTCAGCTGCCCAGACTGGGAGCAGGGAGACCTCCTGCAGAGCCCCCCAGCCCCTGCTTCTGAGGCTCGCTGGACGCTGGCCTCCCTGCTGGTCCCCCTCAGGCCGAGCGTGGCTCTGGGGAAGACCGTTCTGGCTCTGGAGGTGGCAGAGAGGATTGAGAGAGGGGCCTCTAGATCCTGAAAGCTTGCAGCGGCAGGAAGCCATAGAAAAGATGGGGGGCAGCGAGGAAGAGGTCTCTCTTTCGAACGCGAGGGAGGGGACTTCCTTCACTCACCTCTACGCCCCACCCTCCCATCCATGTTCCCTAGGAAGACGTGGAGGTGCCTTTTGATCTGCCTGAACTCTCGCCAGCCGCCACGGTGGCCCTCATAGATCAAAATCCATCCCAGGTAACTAATGGGGCTGGGGACGGGGGGAGACCTTGCTGTGGGTTTGCTGGAGAGGCAAGGATGGGGGGGGGCACGAAACATGAGGGGTGGGCAGGTGGGCGGGCGGGCAGGCAGTGGAGATAAAACCCACCCAGGGAAGCAAGTCTAGTGGGCAGCTCTGGGCATTCTCCTCCAAGCCCCAGACACTGGTGCACCCAGGAAGAAGCCGTCTACTCAGAGCTGACGGAAGTAGTTAGGGGCTCTGAGTGACCTTTCCTGTCCTGGGAAACTGATGGCCAGAGATGATCCAGTTCAGGCAGGCTTTCCGTTCCCTGGCTGTGAGAGGCCAAACGGCCAAGGGTGAGGAAGCCCTGAGATACTCTGGTGCCAGTCCATCCTTCAAAATAGCACCACCCAAGTCAGGTTCAAGGGTGGCATTAACTAACCAACAATGTGCTGCTGCTGCTGCTGCTGGTGGTGTGGGTCGCAAGGCCAGTGCCCTTGTGCTTGAACTGCCCTGGTGGGGTCCGTCCTGATGGGTGACACCCCCGGGGCCGCCCAGCCAGAGGCAGCACCGCTACCGGGGCCACGTGGGACGTAGGCTTTCCTCCGGTTCCTGCCGGGGGAATGTAGGACGTGAGAAAGAGATTTTTTTTTTTTTCAGTGACAAAGTTATTGGGAGGTGACAAATTGGCTCCCCCCCCCCGGAGTTATAAAATTGCAGGTTGCTGGGAGAAAAACGTAGTATTTCCTGTACAGATGGAATTACATAATCATCCATATGTACCCATCAATAAATAAATGATAATTGAAAATGAGTAATCATTAGTAATTAATAAACAATAGGAAATTTGCTTCAGATCTGAGAAGGACCGGGAGCGTTTGGTAGTGATGTTGTGGGAGGTGGTCCGACTCCACGTAGGCGAGCTGGCCTTTCCCCCTTCAGGTGCCTCTCTCTTCCGGGGGCCCCTTGGAAGACCCCAAAGGCCTGCTCTGGATCCTGGATGAAGAGGCCCTGATCCAAGGCTCAAGCGACAGCCAGGCCCTCGACCGCCTGTGCTCGGCCTTCGGGAAGGAAGGGGTGAGCGGGGAAGGTAAGGCTGAGATGGAAGGAGGGGTCTCCCCGCTTCGTAAATGTCAGCCCCGTCCGGGAGCTGTGCCCTCCCTCCGCCCCACCAAGGGAAGTGGCAGCCTTGTCCTTCGGATGCTTCGAAGGGGCAGGTGAGGGCCGCCCCATGCCCCTCCTTCGAATGGCATTTCATTTACGTGCTGCCCGCTTCGTGCCCAAGAAAGCCGTAGGACAAAGACAGAAAAACGAGGCAATCGCACAGCCCGCATTCAAGCTTAAAAGCCGATAAAGTCAATAAACGATCGACGTCAGCCCGTGAAGAGACGGCTTGGCATCTTTGGGTTCGTAACTCAGCTTGACTAAGCCTCTTCCTGCAGAGCAGGGAGTCCTCCGCAGGTGTGAGCAGCCCCTGCAGTTTGAGGTAGCCCACCGGCTGGGCAAGGACCCCGTCCGCTACGATGCCACCGGCTGGGTGAACAAGGCCAAGTGGAACCTCTCTGTGCAAAACGCCATTCAGCTCCTTCAGCAGTCCAAGATGTGAGTGGAGTGGGGGGCTTCTCCCTCTGTGCAGCTGCGATGGAAGAGGGGCTGCAGAGCCTGGCTGGCTGGCTCAACTGGGTCTCCTTCCAGGGCAGCTCTGGAGTGCAGCCTGCCCACACCTCCATTTCCTAAGAATCCTGCCATGCCAGAAGCTGCTGTTTTCTTTGGCAACGTGACAGTTTTAATTGAAAGAACCTAAACAAATGATCAGGCGGGGCAGGAGGCAGGAATGCCACCTGTGGCCTGAGATAACAGAGCCCACTCCAGGGAGGTGCCCGGGGGGCTGGGTGGGTGGAGTGGCCAGGTGAGCCTCTCAGGGCACCCTCAGCAACACCTTGTTGGAAGCAGGAAGCTGGGGGTGGTCTGGCCCAGCTTCCAGCTCCTGGGGTTAATTACTGGTCAGTTTCCACTCCTTTTAAGCATTGGTGCTTACCATCATTCTGCCAAACTCTGCACGGCAAGGAAGGGTGTCTTTGGGGCACAGAGGCCAACCGAGGTTGGCCATTTGCAGGATCAGGGGATGACAGGAGCCAGCCTGGCTTCCCTCCCATCTTTTGCCATGCCAGCCTCGCCAGGAAGGCCTTTTGCAGAGATGGGTTTTCTGTGCCTCCTTTCCTGAACAAAGAGCTTTAATTGGAACTGGGACTGGTGATGAAAGTTTATTCCCAGGGGCATGGGGGAAAATAATTTTTTTGGCTTCCCTTCCATTAAGCCAAAAAGAAAGACGGGAGGAAGCAAATGAGGCTGCCAAGCAAAATTCACAGCTTTGCTCGCTTTTTAAAAATGTAACAGATGTGGGTCAGCATCCAGCTGTGCGGCTCAGTCTGGGAGGAGGGGTTGGATCCAAGTGGGGAGTTTTTAGAGCAAGCTTAATGGAGAAACAAGCTCTTATTATCTGGAACGTCCTGTTCAGCACAGAAAACGGTGGCTGGAGGGTGAGATCTTAAATGGTGCGGGAGGTCTCCCTACCCAAAAGACCCAGGTGGCCCCCTGCACTCCACAACAGCCCTGTGAGGTAGGCTAGGCTGAGAGGGGGGTCAAGGCTGTAACCCAACAGCTGAGCAAAATTAAAAGTCGAGGTGCCCCACCTGGGTGGGTTGGGGAGGCAGAGAGGGTCCCCTTGCTGAAGAGCCTTCCCCCACTTCCTTTCCCACAGAGAGGCTCTGAGAAAAGTCTTCCTGCCACGCTCCAAGGTGCCCCTGGTCTGCCGGTCAGTGGCAGGTCTGGAGGGCCACTCGCAGCAAGCTTTGCAGCGCGTTGGCTGTGTGAGAAAGACGTTCACTGGCAGCTTTGCAGCCATGAAGAAGAAGTCCGTGTGCGCCCAGATCAAGCTCCAGCTGGTGAGCGACAGGCCCGGCCATCCGGTCTGGCTGAGATTTGGGTTGGGGTCAGAAGCCTCTTCCGGACGGTGGCCCAGGGCTGCTCAGGGCAGCCACGGCTCTCCCTGCCCTTCCAGTTTGGGTCTGCCTTTTCTCAGAGGCCCGCTGGCGTCTCAGTCGGTTCGCAGGGGCAGCTTTTGAAATTCCATCGGGGGGACTGAGTCGGGGTGGCGGGGAGTATTTTCCCTTCTCCTTTGCCCCCAACAGATCTTTCTAGAAAGAAATCACTTGTGAACATGACTGACAAGGGAGAAAACAGATGGTTTTCAATCTGAGCGATAGTTTTCGGAAGTGCACCCCACGGCCTTAGAGGCATGCGGGGACCCCCTGGAGCCGCATGGAGCCCCTCGGAGCTTCTCTGGGATGCTGTTGCCCTTTGCCGCCTCACCAGGAGGAGGCAAAAAGAGATGGATTGCTCAGTGATCTCTGCCTCCCCGCAGAAACAAACCTTCCTCCCCTCACAGGATGCCCTCAGCAATCTAGTGAAGCGATCTCAGATCCACTTCCTCCACTGCCTCGACCCGGGAACGCCTGAAGAGGCTCAGCCACCCGCGGAGACGCTGGAAGCAGCCCCGGGGACGGCGTGGGATGTTCCCGCCCTGCGCGTCCAGCTCTCCGGAAGCCTGATCCTGGAGGCGCTGCGGCTCTACAGAATTGGTGCGGACCGAAGGGTTTCGGGTGGAGAGTTTGCTTCGGCTGCTCCCTGCCGGGTGCAAGGCGCTGTACGGGGCTGGGAAATGTCTGCCACGGTGCCTCGGTAGTACGGTTGCAGTGCAGGTTAGGCAAAGGGAGACCCGAGGATAGGGGGGCGGGGGAGTTATGGATAAAGGGGAGGGATGGAGGTCGACTGGAAGCTGGCTGGGCAAGGAGGCTTCGGAACCAAGTGAGCCCGAGGGCCACGCCGGCTGGGATTCCTGGGAGTTGTAGTCTCAAGAGCTCGGGAGGGCAGCAGGTTGTCCCTCCTCCACGTGGCTCGCTGGCTTGCACTGCCCCAACCTCTTCGCTCTGCAAGCAGCTTGTTAGTGTTTGCGAGAATACGCCGCGTTGCTTTGCCTGTTTGTTTGGGGGGAATTTATAAACTGTTTCAGCACACGGTTCCCAGGACAGCGCACTCTTTAAAATAATAACCGCAAACACAATGAAATTCAATAAAAGAGCAGCATAAATCTCCAGAACAGCTCTAATGTCAATAAAATCCAGCAGAAGCCATACAAATGGCGCCACGGTACTAACCATATGCATGCTGCCGGGGAAGTTGTAGCGGACGCTGCACGTGAGTTCCTTCCCTGTTGCACAAGATCCGGCTCAGAGCAGGTTCGGGGCCGAGCAATTGTTCAATCCCCCCCACCGTTTAATTTCCAGCTGGGGGTGTGGGTGGGCTTCTGGGGGCTGGTCAGGCGTCAGCTCTTTAGGGTTTACAGGAGCACGTTAAACCACTTCGGCTTTTCCCCAGAAATGCGCTGGGTTGAACTTGCTACGTGGGGCTCTCAGAGGGCCTTGTGGTTCACGGGGGTCTCAGCGGCCTGCGGAGCCGGCTCCTGCGTACCAAGCATTCGAGGGGCACCTCCTTTTCGCTCCCGCAGGATATGCGGATCGCGTGGCGCTGACCCAGTTCCGGCGGCACTTCCAGATCTTGGCTCAGCCGGAGATGAAGAAGTTCAGCCCAGCCTACGGAGTGGCGGATGAGAGGAAGGTAGGAATGCGACGTGCTGGAGAGGCGAGGGGTGGATGGGCCTGGGCGGCCCCTGCAGCCTCAGGCGCTAGGAAAGGAAACAACGGCCACGGTGCCCGCGAAGGCCTCGTGCTAAAGCGGCTGCCCCCGTGGACTCTGTAGACATGCACGTGCGCGCAGTCCAGACTTCAGCGTTTAACGAGACGCGCCTGACAGTTGAGAAAGGTCACCCTTGCTACGCGGCGCTGCAGGGAGACTCGTAGAACAAGCATCTGGCCTTGCCTTCACTCTGACTCTTTCATCTCTCCTGGGGGGCCCGGAGTTCTGGGGGGTGAGCTGCACGAGGAACACAGAGCGGCAACAGGGAACATTCTCACATTCGAGCCAACGGCACACGAAGTTGGTTCAAGCCCCCGTCTCCCCAACAAAGGCAGGCTGGGTACCCCAAAAGGATGTTGTCCACCAGCAGAACCCGTGGACAGCAATGGCATTCGACTTTGACTCGGCAGCAACTGCTGCCAACGCGTCGTCCTCTTACACTTGAAGGGGGATCGGGTTTCACCTGGGCAGACGGCTGTGGCGAAGCGCTGAGGCCAGGCAAGCAGCAGGAAACGACCACGGGCACCACCAGCGGGTTTGGGCCCTGCTGGGCGAATTTCTCCCCCGTTACACACAAAATAATCCTGGCTATGCTGGTCCGTGAGAGAAAAAAATCCAAGTCCCTACTTTGGTAGTCTCTCAAAATGGGACTGAGGGATGTGCAGGTTTTGGGTTTTCCAGAAGGAGAACGCCCCAAAAAATTAGTCCAGGTGTTACGTCTGGAAAGTCTTCAGTCTGGGGTCAATCTCCAGGTGACACGTTGACTGAGTGGAGCAGTTAAAGACATTGGTGCCAATTTGCCCTTGCAGTCAAGGTGGGGCAAGCAAGACAAGCACCCTTAGCGGGACTCATGGTGTGGGGCAGCCGGAGGGCTCCTCCCCCGAGATTTCTGCTGTTTGCTGCAGGTCATGGCAGGACTCGGTCTCCTGAGCGTTCGTGCTCGCTCTCTCTCTCTCTCTCTCTCTAGGCTTTGGAGGAACTCTTCCAGGCCCTCGATTTGGAGAAGAAGAGCATTGCAGTGGGCCACACTCAGGTACCAGAAAGCCATCCTGGTTCTTCCCATCTGCCTGGTGGCAGCACCTTTGGGAAGTTAGTGGTGTCACCCTGCCTGCCTCTCTTGGCAGGTCTTCCTGAAAGCCGGGGTCCTGCCCCGGCTGGAGAAGCAGAGGGAGAAGCTGGTGTCACAGAGCGTGGTCTTTCTCCAGGCGGCCTGCAAAGGGTTCCTCTCTCGTCAGAAGTTCAAGAAGTTAAAGGTAACGCTGCTGGCTGGGGTGGCCGTTGGATCCAGAAGTGGCGCAGGGACCAGGGGAGGCGAGACTGTGTGGCTTCAGTGGCCCCGTCCTGCTCCAATGCTTTCAATCCTCCCTCTCCCTGGTCTGCACGGGGGCCAGCTAGCCTGATTCCTGGGGACCCCAGGCTCCCAGGGGGTAGTGGTCTTAGCCCGGGGGCTCAGCTGGCCCTGAGGCTGCCTCCCAACTCCTGCTTCCAGATTCAGGGCCTGGCTGTCCGGTGCATCCAGAAGAACCTGACTGTCTTCCAAGCTGTGAAGAACTGGCCGTGGTGGCGGCTGATGTGCAGCGTCCGGCCACTCCTGACCATCAGCCTGGCAGAGGGCCAGCTCCGAGCCAAGGAGGTATGGAGACCCCCTTCCGTGAGTTGCCAGGAAGAAAAAGGGGAACCAGGTTCAAATCTGCCTTTCCTCAGGTTCAGCAGGAAGCTTTCCCTGAGCTGAACTAGGAGATCTCTGAAAGCTCCCCCAGTCTGGGGCCCCAGATACCTTGGCTGCAACCTGCCATTCCCCCCAACCACAGGGCCGTCCTGGCTGGGCGACGAGGGGAATCGTAGTCCAACTACTTAGGAAGATGCCAAGTAGGGGGGCTGGATGAGAATGTCCACCCCCTTTTCGAAGAGGTAGCAGCCAACCCCATAGTAGATTCTGAAATAAGGCAGCCTTAGAAACCTGTAGTTCCCGTAGTGCCCCCGACCCGTCCGTGCCTTGGCATTCGCCGAGCTCCCTGCCCACCTACTTCTATTCTTTGGAGGTTCTTTTATTATAGGAGCCAGAACAGGAGCTCCTTTTTCTTTCCTCAGGAGGAACTTGCAACACTCCGAAAGAAGTTGGAAAATTCAGAAATTTCTCGCCAGGAGCTTCGGCAGAACACCGAATTGCTGGAAACCAAGGTAGGATGTGCAGCTGCACCGGCACGTCTTTGGGCCAGGAGATGCTCGTTCGGAGGCCTGTGCGTGAAAGACAAGGAACGGGGGGCTTAAGCGCGAAGGGGAATCTTCAGAGCTCGTTTCTAGCGGCAAGCCTGGCAGAGCACGTGGTGTCTGTGGAAACGCCAAAGAGCAGTTACACCAGTTGTGCCAGCATGGACAGACTCTGGCTTCGGTGGAGCACTCAACAGGTTGCATGTTGTCCTGCCCTTGCCCAAATAGTCTGAGGGGGCTTTCTCTCTCTGCAATATCAGTCTTTGGGCCAGGGGTCTTCCTCCTCTCCCTCGATGGGTTTCTCCCCAGGACCCTCCTAAGGCTGAGCACGGGTCAGCAGCTGCCAATCGCAGCCGCGTCTCCTTGGATTGGCGCTGCGGTCAGCAGTGCCAAGGGGCGCTTGTGCCATGAAGTGACACGGGGGGGGTGGACTTGGCACGCCTGCAGTCACCTCTGGTTTTGGCCCGAGAGCATGGCCCAGCGGGGAACGGGAATGCCGCAGAGCGCTGTTCCGGGAGTGATGTGAAGCAGAGGGGAGAGATGTGAAGCAGGGGCAGCCTGCACATAATCCCTTTTCGTGACTGAGGCAGCAATCAGCAGGGAAATTGCAGCTAACAAAACACACTCTCGTTGCACTCTCTCGGTTACGGTGGTGTCGCCTCACCCCGGTGCGGGCTGAGAGGGCGCCTAATGGTGGGCAGCAGAGGCCAGCAGGGAGATCTTGTCTTCCCGCAGCGTCAGCCCTGTGGCGGAAACCCTGCCTCTGCCTTCCTTTCCGCACCTCTCGGTTCCCCAGAAGGCCCTTTTCCGGAGCCCCCCAGGCCTTTTCTGGCTGCTTGGCTCCCCTTCCCACGGGCCGCCCAAGCCCCAGGCGGCATGGGGAAACGCTCCGGCCAAGCGGTCTGCTCGAGAGCCATTTCCAGCTGCTGCTCTCTGGCAGGAAAGGCTGCGGTCATTTGGACGGTGGCGCTGTAAGGCCGAGCCAATAAAATAATTAAATTTGAGCTCATTTCCTGGCAGGCGCGTGAGTTGCCTGGCCTCTGCCAGCAGCCCGGGCGGGGGGCGTTCCCTGTGGTCTCGCTGAGTGCCGGAGACAGAGCGGGGGCCACCCTCTCTCCCTGCATTTCCAGCTGCTGCAAGCAGGGCACGGAGAAATGCGGCCAGAGGAGGGCTGCCGACGCTTAGAAGAAGAGACGGTTGCGTTCCCCGGGTGGCGGCACCCAGCAGGGGACCAAGTCCGTGTGCGGGGCTGCCCAGCCATCCCTCGGCCCAGCGGCCGGGAGGAGAGGTTTGGCAGCAGTCGCTGGGTTCCTCCTCTCCTCCTGCAGCCGAGCTGCCGTCAACAACTTTGCTGGGTTCCAGCGCTGCCCAACCGAGGAAGGAAAACAATTCTGAACCTGGCGTGGTGCCTTCCTAGAACATTTCGTGGGAGTTAAATGACCTGTTTTAAGCTGCACAGCTGTAGCTCCCAGAGGAGGCCTTTCTGCTCACATCCTTTTCTGGGCCAGATCCTCCTCCTCCTGAGCGTGCGAGTTGGCGTCCCCTGCGCCATGGCAGGCTGGCATCTTGCTGGACCCTCAGCCTGCAAACAGCCTTGCAGGGTGCAAGCAGCCTTGCGCTTGGCATCGCTTGGAGATGCAGCCGCAAAATGGCAGCTGCCTTCCTCCTTGGCACGCAGCAGAGGGAAGGCCCCGGCATCTCGACCACTGTCCTGCGGCTCCGGCAGGGCTGCCCTAAACGGGTTAAGTTGGGGTGGCCCTTGGGGTGTCTCGCTCCCCTCAGCTACTGCCAGGAATCAGCATCCTGGGGCCCGAAGCTGGGAACTGGGCCAGGAAGCCGGGAATGGCTGGGGGCGGACAGAGGGGCTTGGGTGGAGCAGCAGCTAAAGCGCTCTCCCCCCCCGGCTGCCTGAGACCCAGTTGACCCAGGAGATCTCCGGGCAATCTCTGCCTCCTCCCCATCCCGCCCTTGGCTTGGTCCGCTTCAAGGCCAACAGCTTTGAACGGCCCCCCACGTTTCTCCCGCCCTGCAGGGAGGAAGGGTTGGAAGCACCACGCTGAGTGGGTCTGCTTGGATCCCTTGCCAACTTGGCTCTTTTTCAAAGAGGGGTTTATGGAGCCCAAAAGAGTTAATTTTCATTATGTACGGCATTTCTGTCGAGTCCTTTATCAAGCGTGGCTCCCAGAACAATGGATAGATTGGGAAGAATATAGAGTGGTTGGAAAATGGTGTAGCAGGGGAGGGGAGGGGAGGGGAGGGAAGCCATCTTAACGCTTATCCCAAGCAGTTCTTGCAAACTGCCTGTTGCTGGAAAGGGAGCAGTTCGGGGAGAAGGGCAGTCCAGCGCTGGCATCGCTCCAGCTGCGTCCTCTACCTGGGCTTCCAGACAATGGGCAAAGGATGATGGGCAAACTCAGGATTGAGTGTGAACTGCAAGCAGTGAGTCAAAGACTCCTGCAGGTGATCGTGTGCTGGGAGGATTTTGGAGCAGGTGGTCTTGAGGCAGGTCAGGCACAAATCGTGTTTGCACCTGAGCGATGAGTGGCTGATCCCAGGCAATAAACTGAGGGCACTGAAGGGGCGACTGGAGACTTATCTCCTGGTGGAAACCCCTGTGGTTTTCTTGAAAGGTGAACCCAAAGGTTCTGTAGCCGCTGCCCCCCTCACCTCTGCAAGGGGCTGGGAATCGCTCTCCTGCTTCCAGTCACTCTGTCAGTCACTTTCTCAGAAACTTGGGTGGGGCTTGGTCTTCCTTGCTCTGGCCTTTGGGGGTCTCCCGTGGAAAGGCGAACGTTTTTGCCCTTGGCCTCTGCAGCCCCAAAAGGGGCTCTTTGGGGCTCTGTGGGCAGAGGAGGTGGAGGAAGAAGGTCGGTTCTGTGAAAGGTGTTGAGCCTTCGGCCGGCGTGCTCTGCATCCCTTGCCCGGAAGGGTGCCCTTGGCAATTCGTGCTGCTCTGTTGCCAGGCCCAGCTGGCTCTCCTTCTTCTGTTGCTTCCCAGGGAGATTCTGGAGTTTTGCCAGATCAGCTTCCCCGGCTTTTCCTCCCCCTCTGCCCCCCCCCGAACTTGGCAGGCATTCGTTGCACATTTGGCTGTGCAGGGAATTAGACAACAGTTGTTTGGCATGCTCCCGCAAAAGCCTCTTTTCAGCAATTAATTAATTAACACTATCATTATGCCCGGAGCACCCGGGAGATTGTCAAATTGTCTCAGGTTTCCAATAAACCTGCGGAGAGGATTTGCATGAGCAGAGGAACTCCAAAACCGCGATCGCAGCGCCGCATCCTCTCTCAGAGCTTAGACAGGAGCCGCGGTGCCCCAGCTGCTGCCAGCCGGGGCTGAGGATCCTGCTGTGGGCCACCCGGCTGAAAGGAAACTGGCTTTTCCCGAGTCTGCCACAGCCACTGCTACGCAACTACTCTGGAAGCCAGTAGATGTTGGCAGATACTTTAAGAGCTGGCATTACTGGCTGTGTGGATTTAGTGAGATCTATCATTTGTCTGTCCGTCCACCCATCCATGCATCCATGCATCCATGCATCCATGCAT